GGCCTCCCAAAGTGCTGGGATTACAGGCGTGAGCCGCTGCACCCAGCTGACATTTCTGGGCTTTTACCATGGGGCAAACCATGACACTGAATACTTTATAAATGTGTGTCATATGAAGCTGCAAGGAAGAATTTTAAAAATACTCATTTAAAATCTAAAGAAACTAGATTTTTTACATCATCTCTTAGGATAGCATGCCTTCCTTTTTATTCAACTTGTACATTTAGAATTTTAGAAGTAACTTACCTCTGTATAACAAGAATCCTATTTGGAAGAAGTTCATTATAAAATACTCCCTTAATTAGTTTTCTTCCAGTGCCACATATCATTACTAAATCTTTCAGCATTATTAACGTTACTATCATTTGCAACAATAATTTCTGATAACACGATGTGTTATTAGGGAAATGACCTATAATTATTAATCAATTTTCAGATGGTATTTTGGGAAAGCATTTTATGAAATTAATGACAAAATTATCATCCAAGAAAAAGTGGAAGTTAAAACACCTTAGGAAAGGTCAAGAAGATAGAGGATTATCTGCAAAGACCAGTGAAGTTTATATTCGTTTAGTCAGAGAAGGGAAGAATTATCCACAGCATAGTGCTACCCGTTGAACTTTCGCCACAAATCAAAATTTAAATGAGAATTACGTGATTGCTGAATTTTTATTTCTTCTTTCAAACCAGGGTGGATTAGAAATGAAAAAAACAAAACATGAATTTCCTTTAATTTTTATTGCAGAAACACAGCTGTATTAGGAACAGTGATCATCTGTTTCAAGCTGTGAACTGAGAGATAAAGGCACAAGCTAGGAGTCTGTAGAACTGGGTCATGACACGTGATATTCCTTATAACAAGGAAGGGGGAATAAGGATCTGAAAGCCTTGTGAATTTCATGCGTACAGGATGGGAGGATTGTAGATAGATTGACCAGATGGAGTGTTTCGACTTCCAAAGGAGGGTAAAGAAAGAAAATGAGTGTGTATGTAAAGTTATGAAGTCCACGGATGAAGGAAAGGGATGCTCAGGTAGCATGAAATTGATGCAACCACCTGCATTTGAAGTGTATTTGTTTCTTTGTTAACCCTGTGCATCAGAAAAATGATCATTCAAACTATAAATCAAGGAGA